TTGAGTTGGTATGTGCATGCGAACTCGTTTTTAAAAAGCGTTTTTTGACATTTCATAAGTCCTTTAATGATTAATGGGAGTTTTTCGTTTAAAGAGTGATGCGTTTGCAAAACCTATCTAAAACCTGTGTCTTTAAAATGACGTCCGCCACTACCCACAAACCCGCTAATATGAAGAAGATATAGTCGTAATCTGGACCAGGTTTCCATACTATCAAACAAATCAGCACTCCACCACCGTAAAATAAAAATGCTGCAAAACAAATCAACCAACGATGAACTTTGCTATTAAATAGAACATGTAATTTAATGAAAATGGCAAAATGGCAAAATTTACACCATTTACTTATTGTCTGTCTATGACCTTTGTATAAATCTACATTGAAGTTGATATTTGATAAGATCATATCATTTTTCAAAAGTTTCCATTTTAACCAGAGGTCATAGGGCACGGTGAAAAGACAAATAATGGAGTCTTTGACATCTCCTAATGACTGACACAGTCGTGTACCTGACCGTAACAATATATCTATGCTGGAATTCATGAAACCGTCCGCATGTTCAAGTCTGCGTTCTGTGCTTAGGTCTAAAACATTGGAACTAACTTAAATCATTTCAACTATTGACTAATTAAAATCATAGACAATAAAAAATTGAATTTTATTTATATTTCATTTATAGCCTCTGAGTTTACGCATGAGTATAGCATGGGCCACGATGTCAGTTAGGAAGGTCAAGTGGATGCCATATATGGGTAATGTAATAAAATTCTTTTTGTACTACATGTAACCTAAAAAGAGATAAAGCCCATGGTCTCGATGGTACTTCTAGTAAGATTCAAGTTCTAACGCTTGCAAATTATATTAGTCATTAGTTTTTCCTGGTTTTTTTTTTACAGTTTAATGATAAAAATAACCAACATATTCAGGTGCGTTTGAAAATCGTTTAAAATCTTGGAATTTGTTGGAACTTAGATAAACACATCAAATGTCGCCAAAATGTGAATATTTATCTGAATTTATCATAGATCTTTTTACGGATGATTAACTGATTACTGTTTATTTGATCAACTTAATTTATTTAAACATATCTTTGAGGATTAAGAAATGTTTTCTGGAAGTGTCGAAGGGCTTTAGATATGTTCGATATCAAACATATTAACACATCAGCTAGAAACTAGATGTCTATGCTGATGAAACCAAATCACTTATATTTCCTAATGGTCATTTGTTCCGAAACAATGAATTCTGGATGCACAATGATGTATCATTTGAAGTTGTAGGTAGATTTTGTTATTTAGGAATACAATTTAAATTATATTAAAGCTTAAGTACTTTTCAAAGTTACTATTAAATAATATTTATCTAATGAAAGTAAAACAACGTTTAAGTCGTATTTGAGGTAAGAAACAAAATTTAAAACAATGTCAACAATATGTTATCCTCCTGAGGTGTTGGTTTTAGAGAATGTAATGGAGTCTAAATGGTTCATTAACAAAAGATTAACATAGGTAAAGTATTCAACATGTTATGTTTTGAAATATTTTAAAGATAGCATTTAACCACATGAAAAATACAGGACTTCAATGATATGTCAAAGCAAAGGTAATAAACAACATAAGTACCAACACAACGTTTGACACAGTGTAAGATGTTTCAGATTAAGCTGCATTCACATTGCTTTAAAAACCGATTAGGATATGACTTAAGTATATATTGTCTTACTCTTGGTGGGACATTTAAAACAGTTCACTGATTAGTCTTGAATCAATCGCTCAGGTAACTAAGACATATTAAAAATGTCTTTTCTCTAATCATAAACACAGGAAGTACACCGATAGTTAAAGAACCATTTTGATGAAGACATCAGCAGTAGTTTATTGGCTTATTACAGTACAGATTGAAGAGAAGCTTTGAAATCGAATTGAAACACTTGTAATCGAATTATGAATTAAAACGACGTAATAAAATGTGAGACGTTTTATCGAAAAGCTTGTTATGACATGCTAACAATGCTATTTTATTCTTCTTGGTCGTTAATTGTCGTTTGATAGATTTAAGTGATGTGATTCATGCTTAATTTCAGAATTTGTTTTGTATATTGTGTACACATCGCATCAGTAAGCACAAGAACTCTCCAAAATCGTCAGATAAAAGCATACATATAATAATGCTTATCTTATGTAATAATGAACTCTAAAATAATGCCAAAATTCAGCTGGAGCTAATCTTTAAATAACATGACTGCATAGATATTAACATTAAATTGTCAATTGTACTTCATAAATTGGAGATCTTACTACAAATTGAAAATAGTATCAGTTTACTACGATAATGTAATTTAAACGCTTTTCCCTCGATTTGTCATTTTTTTCGGTGAAAGGGAATTCTTCTAATACTCAGATACGTATATGGGATATTTCCCTCACTAAAAAAGGTTACCTTGGTAAAATCGCCAGTAAGAAATCCCATAGAAAGTCCATGATACAAAGTGAGTGGAACCATTAGTTTCTGTAACCTCGAAATCCAGAAGTGTTTTGCAGTAGACAAGAATTTGCTGCATATTGGCTTTCTTTTCCTATCCTTTGATATGTCTCTTTCGACAGTGATAGGTGCGAGGAAAGCAAGGACAATAATCCCAACTATGGCCAGTCCGATACATATACCACAGATAGAATAAATCTGGCGATAGATAGAAAGTAGGACTAGTTACTATTCAACCAAATATTATTAAAGTATTTAACTTATTCTGTTCAGGGTTAAAATTTCATAATGTCGATAAATATTGAACACCATGTGCTGTTATGTTCATTGTTCTGTAATCCTTTTCAGATTATTATATAACAATTATCCAGAATGGAATGTTATCTAGAACTTACATTTGTTTTAAACTTACGAAGTGATTGATATTCATTTAAATGAATTGAATATACCACAACCAGCATACTTAGTGAACAATTGTTACAATGCATCATTATTATATATGTAAATACACTTAATTTTCTATGTAGCATATACAATCGTTGTATGTCTGGTATAGACACATATCCATGCATGCCAGTGTTGAATGTTTAAAATGCAATCTGTAAGGCCACTTTCGTCATAAGGGCTTTCACACTTATAAGGCGTTTTATCAGGATGGCATGCGTCGTAAAGGTTAGTTTATTTCACGCCCAAAGGTATTACCAGCGATAATAATATATCTTGCATACTAGACCGATATATCCGCATTTCTGCCGGTGCTGGAAAATTCTATCCGACCCACGGGTCTAGATCGCTTACACGCGCAGACTGACGAGGGGAATTATAGTGACCTTTCGGGGTCACGCTATTGTTTGTGTCGTCATTTTATGACGTTTTGGGGTCAGTCAGGGTCATTGACGTCACGAACAATTGCCATCCGGGCTTCATATGCAAATGAGAAATGTGCAGACATTTTACAACTTTACTAGAAGAGCAGCTGTTTAAGGTAATAAGCAAGAAATTGAATCCATCCCTGATGTGAGGTAAGGGTAAGTTTATTCAAACCCTCGGGATAAAATATTGAGCAAAAGACCCTCGGCAAAGCCTCGGGTCTCCTGCTCAATATTTTATCCCTTGGGTTTGAATAACCTTATCCATACCTCACATCAGGGATGGATTCTGTTAATCTACACTCCGTCCATCCATCAGTCGGTCCGTGAGGGATTTACTTTGTCCAAATGTAGACCTCGTGTCCCTTTTCATAGTAGCAACGAAGTTATGTCCAGAGATTTGTGACTATGCATTGCACTCTATACTGGTAAAAGGTATTTATACCAAACAACTTTCAACGTCTTTTAATATAGCAATATTTTTTATTGACAGTCTAGTTTACATCAAACAAATTACTACATATGTGTTCATAAACGGAATTCCATGTAACCTGAGCTACTAAACAATATAAATAGAATGCATTTTACATGTAAACGATTGCTCCTGCATGCCCTATATCAGTGACAAGAAGAGATACACACACGGTCGACATAACTAGCATAGATTTTAATGGAAATCAGTCGACGTGTACGCGCTATTACTTGATCACACGTTTGAAGTCAAATTTATTGTATATTGATAGCAATGTTTGACAAAATAGTTGATTTGACGATGAGCATTTATTTCTATATCGAAGAGAAATATAAAAGAATTATAACTGTTCGAAATTTGCTTATTTGACATCGAATCTGGGGCCAAGGTTTGTGGCCAAGTGGTTTAGGTATCTGACATCTATGATCACTAACCATTCATCCCTGGATCGCCGAGTCCTGATCGCAGTCGCTTGTTTTTCTCCGTGTACTCCGGTTTTCCTCCACTACCAAAACCTGGCACGTCCTTGAATGACCAGAGCTATCAATAGGACGTAAAACACACATACCAAACCAATTGACATCGAACGTAGGATGTATCCATGCTGTTATCCGTGAATTATAAAGGTATAATGGTTACAGGCCGCAGTGCCATTTGCCTTCAGAGTACATGATATAACTATAGAAGACTAAAACGACTACTATATACCGGGAAATTCTGGCTGAAGTATAATTTTCTCCTTTTTTCGCCCCTAATAATGAAGACGAATTTATCTTTACAGCGAACATTTGTAAACAGCATAGTATAAATAGTAAAGAGTTGTAGGGTCGAAGGCCGAACATTTGAATGGGCGAAAATTCCCTGGTATATAGTATACGTAAGTATTTAAAGTATTTAAAAGCAATATTTGGCACTAAAACATATTCTTATATAAAAAGCATATTAATCCAAAGAGATATACATCTGTAAAAAGTCAAAAACCTATCGCACATAAAAAATACATATTTCAAGAACTAAAGGCACTAAAACATATTCTTATATAAAAAGCATATTAATCCAAAGAGAGATACATCTGTAAAAAGTCAAAAACATATTGCACATAAAAAAAACATATTTCAAGAACTATTATGGCTTAAAAAAATGCATGTACCTCTAAAAGAGAATTAATGCATATAAATATGACATATATAAAGCACTAAAATTTTGGGTCAATCTTGAAGACCTGAGCTAAACAGTTTTTGAGATGCTGAATCAACATGCACGTGTTGACCATATCATACACTATCTCAGTCTAAATGGAGTAAGTGGGATGCTGAATCAGCATACGTGTTCACATTAATATGTCCGTTCTGGAACCTGTCCTTGAGCTGAGTAAGGCGCTCATCCAAACGTCGATACTTCTTCTTTCTTGGTCGTGATTTTCCTCCAGCAGACAGTTGAATCATCCTAACCTCGTCAGCAGCCTGTAATTTCTGGAGCAACTTCACAATCGCATAAATGTTCGGGTGTGCATGCTTGCACATCCTGTTTACTTTACTGTGCCATCCTTCTACATGATTAGTTGTACGAGGCCCTGTGTTGTCATAGTGGTTCCACAGGTCCAGCTGCTGTCCTTCCACCCACGTTTCTGTGACATAGTCCTTGAAACGGGTAACCTCTGGGCTGTTGTCCTCATTTTCATCAAGAGCATTGAACCAAACGTCTTCCACTTGTCGGGTCGGAACCAAGGGTAGGACAGCAGCTCTTCTTACCTTTACGGAATGGAAAACATACATGCAATACATTTTTGAAATTAGAAGAATTTGAACTATATAATTATTATAGAGGCTGCGATCTGTTTAGATTTGATGTAATTTTCGAGAAAAGCGGGAAGGTGGAACTTTTATGACTAATGTTAGATAATTACACTTACCAACTTTCTCAGTTCATCGTCCTGTTTGTAACGCGCAGCTAACCCACATCCCTGTGTCTTTCTCCAAATGCATTGCGTGTAATGGAAAAAACAGGCTTTCACTGTCGTAAGTGGGAACACAGCATTTATCGCGTTTCGGGCAGCTACTTCAAAGTCCAACATGGCTACTTCTGGTACCAACATCAAATTCATTTGAAGCACAGCATCCCTCAAAAGGGTGAAAAACCTGATGTAAGTATGTTCTGCTTTGTTTGGTAACAGTGCAAACACAAGAGGGAACATAGTTCCACTGACGCTACCGTGGAGTGTGTATAACTGGCTGAACAATCCGGGACACGAATAAAATGTTCCGTCACTGTACATGATTGTTACCTGACAAAGTTTTCTTAGATTGTCATCAGTAGCGAATATAATAATTCGCTGGCCTTGTTGATTTGTGTCATCAGACAATAAAAATCTCTCTCCAGCTGACGTTTCCTTCCACAGGTCGTCCAGCTGTATATCTTGCTGTCGTTGTGGCAATTTTGGCAACACTTTAGCTCTACTCCTGTATAATGCGGACTTGCAACTTTCAAATGTTGGTATTTTTTTTATCATGTCCTCAACATCATCATCATAGTCTCTGTCACGGAGATTGCCAAGTTCCTCTTCAAATATTGCCGGGATAGCATTGACTTCATCTCGACAACGCTTTTTGACATTTACAATGAATGAGTCAGCTGCTAGTGAAATAGTATCAGGAGGATGGTTGTGATGTTGGTGCCCAAATACAACTGGGATGTTATCCAGGGTTATAAATGTTGCTGGACACTGCCGTAAAACACATCTCCAATAAACACGGTTATCCCGTCTTGTCCGTATAGAAAATTTGTAGCCAGCATGAAGTAGGTAATAGCCACCTCTACCATTCTCTAAAAAGTCGACCTGTACTTGTGCATTGGCCATGGTAAAATGACTGATATATTTTCAAATTCATGATAAACAGACTTAATAGTGTGAGCAGTATTACCTACCTAAAATCTACCTGTACCTGTATACATAGAAATATTATAATAGAGATTAGTATATCTGAAACAGACTATAACTGAGGTTTACTCAGGTTGTAAAGTTTGAAATGTTGGCCAGGTGACACTGGGTATTTTTCAAATGTTGGCTAGGTGAGAAGCAACCATAAAGATATAGAACACTTAGTACCTTTAACGGTGTTATGTAATTTCGTTTTAACCTGTTATTATTAACGTCGTCCTTTTTCCGTATACTGACTTACACTCAATGTTGACAAGGCTGGTTTGGTTTTATTTTGTTTAACGTCCTATTAACATCCAAGGTTATTCAAGGACGTGTTGACAAGACATTTGAACTTCTAATCTCATGGCACTAATGTGAACCATCATATATTTGCATTGAGGGGTCCAAGTGTAATCTTGATAAGTATCTGAATATGATATACTTATCATTCGTTTGAAATTGTATGAGATAAGATTTAGAAAGATGGCGATTTGTAAAATGCATATGGGTCTTTATATGACAAAGGTAAAGAAAACATTTTGAATACAAAAAATCTTTAAAATAAGTCTGTTCAAAATACGTAAAATAAAAACTACTTGTACGAAAGTTATAATTCATCAATATTTTTTATTTATTTTTTATTTTTATATAAACCTACAAGCAATCAAACCAATATTTCCATATGGCATATTTGTCTTTCCATGCATGTTTAGGAATATTTGTAATCACTTGGTAATACTTGGAACAAATGCACAAAACTCAAGATCTCTTGAGGGCTCAGGGGCTCCTGATTTTATTAATTTCGTATGTATTTGAAAAATATTTGGTGAAATTTATGATTCATGAATATCACGGTGTAAGAAACATATTCTACCTCCTCAAGTTTCCTTCCACAACTAATTTTAACATCATTATATAACATTGCAGTAGTTTTAATTTCAATAAATTTACATAACGCGCTGGCAAATAACTAAAGTAAATATCTTTGTTCATGTTCAGTTAACACACGAATGAAAATAGCATATAAAGCGATATGATGAAAATGAAAAAAACCGAATTCAACGTGTTATTTCTAATGTAGTTCATGTGTTTAAATACAATGCATACCCGACTTGATTTAGGTTCACGCTGCCATATCATGTTTATTCACATCATGATATTACTCGATATGGTATACAGACATCTATTTATTTCGGTTAAGTCGTGAGTAAAACTGAAAAACAATGTATTGGTAGCAGTACCATGTCGGCCAAGAGAATAGCAAAGTGTGCCCAATCCTCGATACCCATGGGTTACGCTCACTTACGCTCTCTGCACCCCTGAAATATTTCATATCAAAAGTGAGGGCAGGGTGCGAGGTATTTGATTTATCTTCGGTAAAAAAAACTTACCAATCGCAAGGCTGATACCTGTCTTTTTGAAGATCACAGTGGAGCGACACCCGACTTCAAACCCCGTGAATTCTACCGTTACGCGACAGCGAGCTTCTGTAACAAGGGATCAAAAGTTGTCTTCTTGGCTCATCGACAAGGTGGCGCACACTGAGCCTTCGATTTGCTATGACATATTTGCAGGGGATGCAGAGGGCGTAGGTGGGCGTTATCTCTGGTGTATCTAGAATGAGTGTTCTCTGTGATTATAGCAGTGAAATTAATTGCTGCCTGAGATACAGGCTAGCTGAAATTCAATCATTTCCTCGATTTCATCCTTACCATATGTTATCTTGACCTCTGTCGTGTTTGAACAAAATAGTCTACAAAATAGTCTACAACCATGTATTTGTATTGCTGCTTGCCTTTCCTAGAAGAGAAAACCACAAAGTAAAAGAACGAAGGCGTTCCGACAGTTAGGTTTGAGGTAAGGTAGTAAACAAAGAAGAAAAGTATAAGTTTTGATAAAGGAAACAAACGTTTTGAACCGACCCTTTTCCATTAATTTTAAGATTAAGTGTCCATATACGACTGTAACACTGATATTTTTGTACCACTAAAAATGATACTTGAGGTAATGTGCTAATGCAACAAAATTGTTTAAACAACTTTTATTAAAAGAATTACACAGAGAACCTACATTTTAACCCTAATAATGAGATAAGAGTAATCATTTCTTGAAATTGGTAAGAGGAAAAAACATGAATTGAAATGGGCTGAATATATTTGTTTAAAGCTCTAGTAAAAATGTTCAATTATATACAGATTTCTTCTATTTTACCATAACTGTTTTTCTTGGAAATCCTTCATCTTAAAAAATCAAGGGTATGCAATCCTTCGATCTTAGCCTTAACCTGTGTATATTGTATATGACTACCAGGTTAAATCAAATATCTAAGCAAGTCATGCGGAAACCAAATTGTTGACGGATGGATGGACCGACGCTCCCGATAACATAATACGTCTCGGCAAAAACTTTGACTGGCGACAAAAAGCCAGATAGTGAATATTCGTCGGGCTTAAATGCTTATATTTACAATTGCATGGCATTGTCACTATATAGCCTCTTTGAAAGCTGTGTCGTTGATGGGACTTTAAATACCATGCCGCACGAGACATAATTACCATGCCGCACGAGACACAATTCTTAGCGTATTAATTACAACACTGACCGGAACTACAATATCCAATGTAAATAAACATGACGGCTGCTGAAATATCGCTGGGCATTGTGAGATTTGATAATGTCATTGTAAATTTATGTACAAAATAAAAGATAAAATAAAAAACACTTTTATTACAACGAAAACAAGACCAAGGTCTGCAATATCGTACAAAATGCACATCGGTTGAAATCACCAATGCCGGCAATGGAAACAATTTTAACGCTCATGCAATTTATCAGAAATATCGTCTGTTACACTGCACTGATCAACAGGGGTTCGTTATAAATGTCTGAAATACACATATTCTATAGACCTACTGACACATATGTTACAGACCTACTGATATGAGTCACAGCACACATAAACATTCGTCATTTCAGACATTTGTAACGAACCTGTGCTCCGTCGCAAGATCACTCACTTCAAACGCTATCAGTTTCACGCGTCTCGGATCCACGGTTCCTCAGTTTCAGACGACATGTCAAATAACGATGCTGTTATAGAATCTACCGACTGTTGTCGGGTTCCCATACAATCAACAAATACATTCACGCCTGGATTCTTCACAAAATGAGCAAAGAGAAAAGTTCGAATTAACTTCCAAAAATAACTCCCTCGTGGAGGTCAAGGTCCCATTCACGGTGTTCACTGTATTTATCCATGCGCGAAATTTGTTCCGGGGGAAAATCGAAACAATTTCAAATCTAACTTTCAGCTCAGATTTCTATTGAAAAACTGGAATCACCCTATAGACATATCATACGCAATTGTATTGATACTAAATTGTGGAATAAATTTTAAGTGTTTGTTAAAATGTCAAAGTACTACTTTGTTTGCCAATCAGCACGCGACAATACGCTGTTCAAACTATTGAACGAAATTGTGTGGACTGTCGATAAGGAGGGCATTTTTAATTTTAATTATAAATTATAAGTTAAAAAAGAACATAAGAGGCAGAGAAAACGTAAAAATAAGTATTGAACTGTTTAGCGCGTATTATGTTGTTCGCTTGCAAAGCTGTGTCATTCAAATAGATCATAAATACCATACAAAAACAGTTCATTGCTTAAATAGTTACAGTAGGTAGAGCTGCAGCTTTATGTAAATGTGACATTAATTTTAAAAGATGTTTTAAAATTATACTTCAATGCAGTAGAACGTCAAGATTAAGGTTTACTTTATCTAATGAAATGCATTTGTTAGTCCTAGCCGTTTAACAAACAAAATGTATACAATGTAGATCATTCTACAAATTGACCTTGAAATGCCAATGGTATTCCATACAGAACCTTATCAGATTGGACTCCGTATGACACCAGCGGTGTTCCTGATAGCGTATCTGATTAATGGAAGTAATTACATAAGCTTTCATTCAACATTGAGACGTATAGATATCTGACAAGCTTCGTTACGATTTTGTATGCAACATAGCTGTGTGAGTATATTATAAATACTATTATAAAATTACTAAATAGTGTGCATTTAGCAGACCTCGCTTGTAGGGGACTCCCCAACCTTTGGAAACCTAAATATCACTACAAGGTAGAACTAGATGATTATATCTATATTATATTTCTGTATTTATCATTAACGTTATGTTTTTTAAAGACAACATTTTTTATTGCAGTAAACGTAAAAGAAACCTTGTATTTATTCTAGTGTACAATATGTAAGTACAAAATCCAGAGAGCTTGTTAGGTAGGGGCTGTCCCAATCACCTGCTCTCTGGATTGGAACTTGTGATAGTTCTTTTTGAATTAATTAATATATCACGTACTATAGCTGTTCGTAACAAAATTATAATATTTTGTCTATATATTTTCACATTAAGAAGATTGATACCTGTCATGTAGCTATATTTTTTTTATACTGTGTAACTATATACTTGTACGATGTAATTATATGACACTATAATAAACAAAATTGACTTGACTATAATGTTTAACAGTAGTGTGATAACCTCAAAGCATCTTTCTACAATGTAATCGCAAGTGAGGCGTGGCAAACAACGATGAATGAATATGGAGTGTTTGGTATTCGTTGATAACACAGGAGAACGATATATTTATATATTACGTGATCTTGCATCTGTAGTTATAGTTAATAAAAAAAAGAAGCTTATCTATATTGTTGGTCCAAGAAATAGCGTTATAACTGTCATACCTTTACGTCGATATCCAGGGGTTACGCTTACTTTCGCTTCCTGAACCCCTGGAATATGTCATATCAAAATTGAAGACATGCGGTTAGCTATCTGATTGGTCTCAGGTAAACAAACCCTGTCCAATCACTAGGTTGATATATGTCCTTTTAAGATTACAGAGGAGCCACAATCGACTTCAAAGCCAGTAAGTTTTACCGTTACGCGACCGCGAGATTCTTTTGGTGTACATCAAAGGATCAAACTAGTCTTTTTGTCTCACCCACAAGGTGGCGCTCACTGAGTCTTTAATTTTGCTATGTCATATTCCAGGGGTGCAGAGAGCGAAAATAAGCGTGACCCCTGGATATCGAGGATGTGGACAGTTACCTAGTAGTTACATGTCACCTGGCAAATATCTCTCCACGATGCGTATTTGTGTTTGTGTGTGTGCTTGAGCTGTATCTTGTTCTGTAATGAAGAGTAGACCCTATCTTCCAAACAACATAATATTTTCATAGTGTAACCTGATTTAATGTTAAAGCACATACACTGCAGCATCTACCCCAGACCCTTATTTATACTCCAACAGCTTTATTGGAGATGTGTGAAAATTTCATTCTACGACGACGTCAGGGATTAAACCTTTGGCATCTGCGTGGGAGACCGGATGTAATCTTTCAGTAAAATTTTCCCAAAATGAAGTATGAAAAATCCTGATATCAAGGACATTACAGACACGTCGAAATCAATCGCTTATCTCAATCTTTTCTCAAATCATGACCAGCAGGGAAGGCTTATGGTTTCGATTTTTTCGTTCGTGAACTTTTCCTTTCTTGATAATAATATAATCTCTTCCCCACCAAAAGTATTGACCTGTTACATTAGAGTCATTATTCACAGATTTGATCTTCATATCCGTGATAGATGTCGTATACTGGCAACACAGGATTTGAGAGATTGAGAACTAAGGTTGTTGAGCAAATGTTATAGTCGACATCATGATCTCATTGGAATTTTGTTTCCTTGTGCGATATAAATATTACCTTTTTAATATCCATACAAGAGTGCTTTGGTGTTTTCGTTGTTGCTATCAAAGTTTCCTCTGTGATAACGTTACGTTACATTAATTGACCTATATATTCACAGCGGATGACGTCGATAACGCAGGAGGTGTTTATCCCTTTGAAACGTCTTGTAATAATAACCTTGTTTTATCTTTACAAATTTCATTATTATGATAGTGAAATTTAAGACTCAAAGTTCAAAATACATATAATTCATTACAGAGAAGCTTCCAATAGGGATATAACTATTAAGCTTTGAAATCACACATCTCAAACTAAGTGTTTTTAATACAAAATATTGTTGGTGTATTTCAGTAGTTCGTGACGTTTCCCTTTCAATAATATTTTATAACATTGTCACTTATTAGTTCATTGTAGTTCTTTGATTTATAGGGTGACCCATTGTATCTTCTGTACAGAATATCAACGAAAGAGTAAAAAGGCGTCATTTACAAAAACAAGAACCGTTATCCTTGCTTTAGAGGAACTGTAACAAACCATCAACACAATGACATCTCATACTTCAGAAACATCAAACAATGAAGGGACATTTGAGATCCCTTATATTGCGGAGTCGGAATGTTTTTCAATTAACTCTTGTCAAACTAATAGCAATGCTAATAATTTATGCATGGTAACTGCTAGACAAGATAGAACTGACAGTGCAATAAATTCAGATACAGAAACGACTGCACACAAGAAAACAACAAATGACAATACGGTTGGTTTATTGACCAAAAATACTGGGATAAAATCTAGTACTACCTTGGTATCATATATGCCAAAGTCACAAATCTTAAAAAATCTTGGTATATCGTGTGCCTCGTTTTTTCTTGTTTTCACATCATTCCACTCATTGTCGAATCTACAGAGTTCCATCAACAAGGCAGAAGGTGTGGGAACATTTTCTTTAGTCATCGTGTACATTGCAATGGTGTGCTCGTCAATGTTCCTGTCATCAGTTTTTATTGATCGACTCGGTCAGAAAGTGACAATGTGTATTGCTATGTCTATGTATGTGATATTTATGGCGGCCAACCTATATCCGGTGTGGGGCACCATGGTCCCGGCAGCTCTCCTGTGTGGACTAGCAGCAGGGCCATTATGGGCATCCCAGTCATCATTCCTTTCACAGCTTTCTAGATGCTACGCAACAAATACCAACACGAAACCAAAAGACTCACTCAGTTATTTCTTTGGGATATTTTACATGTGTGTCAATGCAAGTAAGTAAATACACTGATATCATGTTCTATATAGACGCTTCAATCTAACACATATTAAGGTGTTTCCTTCGCCGTCTTTGTCGATTTTTGTTCTTTAAAGAAGGCACATATATACTAGTTATGACTAGTGAAAAAGGGGTCATACTTATAAAGGATATTGATGAGATGGGAAGGATGAAGAGATTAATACATGTACGAGCAATCAATGAATGAGCTAAAAAGGTTATTTTCATCATGCCAAAACTTAAAGAGCATTTACATAGATTTCAAGAACCAAAGCCTAATGCCGATTTTTTTCCATTATGTGTGCTAGATATTGTTTAATGTATTTCGTTGTTTATTACGATATTTCGATTCAGCTTGAAAACGTGAATTAACGGTAATTGAGAATAACAATTGTTCCATGAAATAAGTTACTCTATTGCTACATTAGATTGCATAAGTTTTCTAAATGTAACCAGGTTGTGATTCATATTGTATTATCTAGGTAAGATATCCGGAAATCTGTTAGCATCTATTGTTCTCAAACAAGATGAAAGGAGTAACAGGTCCATGACACGGGAAGAAATTGAGGATTGTGTGGCGAATAAACAAGATGCCGTCGATAATGCTACCACGCTGGAACGACCAGATGACACGATGGTAACAACTAATACTTGTTTCGTGTTGTACACAACAGTGGTATTTATACAATTGCAAGATCAGCTCCTATTTATTTGATAGTGATATGCTGTTGTGATATGACACAGAATTATGATATTTTCTGCTCGTGTTTCTTTCTACTTCTCATTATGTGTCTCTCTATTTCAGTTTTTATATTCACTATGTCTGAATAATAAAGTTGTGTTGACAATAATGTTTCAACATAAACAATTAAGATTTAATTAATATTATAAAGATATGGGATTGTAACAAAGATGACAGTTAATTGCAAATCAAAACATGATCTTGTAATGTAATTAATACAATAATTATGTTATCTTCTGTTCGGGAATGAAAAAAATAATTGTTTACATCCGATAATCTAGCTTTTCCAGTGTAGTGGTTTAATACCGTAAATAACAATCCACGAGAGTTATGATTCAACTTATTTCGAGTCTTTGAAACAGACTCTTCAATTATATAAAATGAATTTTCAGTTTTGAGAAGTGTAACTTGATATACTCTCTAATCTAACGCCAGATCTACTCGATCTGTGGAACATGGATTGGACTTGCCATTGTTGGGATCATCGTTCTTGTTTTCCTCACACCTATGACTGCTGATGGAGATATATCCAAAGGTCGGAAAAGAAAACCAATATTCAGCAAATTCTTGGCTGCCGCCAACCACTGCTGGAACTCGAAATTACAAAAACTCATGATACCCATGACTCTGTATTTCGGCATTGCTTCTGGATTTCTTACTGCAGATTTTACCAAGGTAAAGCCTTTTAAGTATTTAATATGTCCCATATATATGCGTGTTCGTCTTTTAAGGCAAGCGTTGACAACTGCAAGAAAATACCATCTATAATGAATATTGGATTGGTGTAATAATAAAAGACAACATTATATGCATAACGCTATATAGCGATGTGCCAATCAGGTGAAATACTGTCCAGACTTTATATAACGTTTTAACTGTTTGTCATTTAATTGAAAAGATTTTCTTACTATTTCTGTGGGTTTTCAACAGCGAAAAGAGAGACGGAAGAGAATTTTACCAATCTAAATCATTTTAGAGGGTGTGTGAAAGCTAATAACAGTTTTATTTCATTGTTTATTTGAGTTTTACGTTCTATCAACACCTATGGTCATATAAGGACGTGCCATGTTTTGATGGTGGAGGAAAGCCTGAATCCCCTGAGAAAACCCACCGACCTGCGGCCAGTGTACAGTACCTGGCGACTGCCCCACGTAGGCCATGAACCCTCGACTTACTGGTTCCTGGCAATTTATTTTCTTATTGGCTACTGTCTTGAAACTAACTGTGGTATTTTTGCTATTTACGTAGTTGCATTGGTAGACGTCAATCAATGCCTTTATCATTTGCAGTCAATTATTGGCTGTACTTTCGGAATACACACTGTCGGAGACTTTATGCTTTGTCACGGAATATGTAACACCGTATCTGCGTCACTCCTCGGACATCTAGTAAAACATTTTGGACATTTGCCTTTCTTTACAATCAGTGAGTAACGAATTGTATACTTATCAAACCGGGTAGAGTTGATAGGAAACGAATCAATGTTAAACTCTACATTATAAAACTGACATACCCTCACAAATAAGTAAGGTAGTATGCCATAAACTAAGTTATACAATAACGCATGAATACTATTTCTGGGAGGGTTTTTTCACTTAAGAAGTAAAATCACAGCATTAATATCAATTGACACATTTTCTTTTTTCAGCTTTTCTGTGTTACGGTGGAGTGCAGGCCATTTTGATTGTATGGAAACCCGGCACAGAACACGTCTATATCTTCTTTATATTCGCGGGTATGTGGGGAGTAGCAGACGCCATTTTGAAGACACAGGTACTTGGTACGTAATGCGTATGAACAATTTGTTAACAAAACACTCGTTGTTTTATATATATGTCCTTAGGAACGATCAAACAAAGTCATTTGGAATGTGTGGATTAGGAAACAATTTCAAAATTAAAATTATACATATTTGTATATTTCAGCAATGTATGGCCACTTATTTGCTGACAACACAGAAGCGGCATTCGGAAACTATTTCGTTTTTGAGGCGACTGGATTTATAATATCATTTTCATACAGTACATTTGTATCAACCGACATCAAACTTTATATCCTACTGGTCTTGTTGGTGTGTAGTGCTATATCATACTACACTGTGGAATACATAGACAGGAAATATAACACACGCCGGGACGTGGACAACGACGGTACATCGATAAGTTGACCCGGCAGAGCTAACAAAACTACAACATTACAGTCCTGTGGTGATTCAGTAAAGCAAAACGTTTGAAGATGACAATTTCTGACCAAGTTAGCCTCTACCGCCGTAAAACATAGTGTCGCGATTACGTACACAATTCCAAATTCAATTAATTATGACAATTCTGTGACAGTTCCGACATCACACTACCTTCAACAAGACGGTCCCATTAAAAAGTCAGCAGCTTAAAAAGTGTTCAGTCTGACGACTCAAGACGGATATATTTATTCGTAAAAAAGTGTTTCATTCGTCCAAAACCAAACGACAGTGGGAAGAATCCCACCTTATGCAATTGTTATTGTGACGTCGTGTCTAGATGGCCCATGTTGGCGGGGACCGCGTTTCAAATTAGAGCACCTTCATGAAGCTTCAAATAGAATGCTTTGGCAAATAAACGACCAAGCAATATCATTACGTTCTCACCAGTAGGACAAAGGCATTGGCTAGATGCAGCAGTCATATTCGACGGTCTTTACCAAGCGATTGTTGTACGGGGACTGCCGCTTCACGGACTGTCAAGCGTCGCCAAGGTTGATTAAGAAGATTCCAAAATCAATTCATCGTCTCACATGAAACAAAATTGTCGTGCAACTCTACATTGGTATACATTACAATATGGACAACGTAACCAGTCCTTTCCCTTTGAATTTGTGACAACGCACCAAAATGTTAATGCGTACTTAATTGGTTTTGAAATCGGAACAGAAAGTAAGATGTAATTCGTGTATGTTGCTGAACAGCCACTGGTGTAATTCATAATGTCTTTGTGAAAAAGCATCTTAGGGCACCACAGACTTTTACGCTTGAATTATTTGATTAAATAGATTGTCGCATGGTAGGTATTCCACTACCAAAAGTGTTTCCTACAAAAACGATGTTAAATTTCCGCCGATCTGAAGATTGCCGACGAGGGACGGATTCACCTTTCCTCTTTTGTTCTATACTTGCTGTACAACTGTCAGTAATTTGATACGCTATCGCTAAATGAAAATATAACTAAGAGTATTTCGAGAAGGGAAGTGAAAACCTACATTTAGAGGAAGATGAACATTTCTGTAACATTTTGAGTTCAACATGTGTGTTCATTAAATCGATACAATTAATTTGCTCCAAATTATTCCACTACACGGTATCTCCATTTAAACATTGTGTAAGCATTATCTGGTTGTTTGCAATGTATTCGTTATTTTTATTTGTTTTCAAATGCATTAAAATCACCTCTTTTCCCCATGCATATTTTTATTTATCGCCGTGGACGCTTTACCCATAAATAGCACACATTTTATAAGTACATATGTAACATATAATTTTTCAGCTCAAAAAGTACTCGTTTTTTTAGGTTAAATAGCATTTTAGCCTACTTTCATGGTCCCTTTTAATGATAACTTTAAGCATGACATTACTGTATTATTGTATGTCATTGATAGCTGTAATACTAAATCATAATGGGTACTACTTAAAACTGCCTTTGATGTATGGTAATATGAGCACTCTAATTAATTAAGTAAGTAAGCAAAATTTGTACTATTTAACTCTATTATATGTAGCTGTTTGACCTTTTGACATATTAGAATTACCTTATGTAAAAAGCATCGTCAAAGTGGAAATGATAATAAAGTAAATACGGAAATTAGAATACATCAAAATAATGGGGGAAATAATGCTAGCACTGAAAGGGAGTTGAGACCAGTGCCCGTATTATTGCAACCGTCTTGCTGCTCACTTAAATTATATGACACAGCAAAAATAACAAGTGTAAACATTGAAAAGAGTATTCGGATATCCAGAATTCTCCCGAATCATTTAGAAATTGTGGATTTGTATTGATTCATCACCGAAACAAGAAATTGGACTTGATAACAGAATCTGAGCTTTAGCAGGAGAACGCTTTCCTGAATACATGTCCAGGTGATGCGGTAGAGTAAGCGTACCCTATACCACATAAGGCACTTGTCAATTCTAGGAAACTAAATAAATAACCAACCTATACACACAGTAAATATAGCGGTTTGTAAAAATACCAACGCTGAGAATCATGTCACGATGACAACAGTGAAATAAGTAATTTGTAAGTCAATGGAACAATTATGACCAATTGTCCTGATACTCAGAACAGGCTCTATTGTTTGGTCTGTATAATAGTGTGATAGAAGTATTTTTTATGTCGATAGAAGGATTATAACCGATTGTCCTGATACTCAGAACAGGCTCTATTGTTTGGTTTGTTTAATAGTGTGATAGAAGTACTTTTTATGTCAATAAAACGATTATAACCAAGTGTCCCTAATAATAGCCATTCATGCATGTGACGTATGATCGTGCAGGAGACATGGTACATGTTGATATATTTGCCTCCTTAAGATAGCGCGGATCTGGTGCCGAATTTGAATGTGACAAAAGAAAATTGTATAAATATTAAAGGTTGCATGTCACTTCTGTTGAAAGGAGATGAAGAATACGCCTTAGCGACCTTTTCTTAAACCTTCACACTTTTTTTTTCAAGATATGACTTGTTGCATTACACTGCATGATAGGAAGATGCGACTATTGGGGACCTCCTGCAATATCGATTTGTTCTTCCTTTACCTCATCTTGTGAACGGAAAAGAAACGTATATTGATACGTTGAACCTTTTATTCACGGAGGCACGGTAGTCTAGTGGTAGGACGCCGGGCTCGTGACCTAAGGGTTGCGGTTTCGAGTCACGGCACGGCACTGTGTTGTATCTTTGAGCACGATACTTTACTCCGCTTGTTGCAGTCTACTCAGCTGTAAATGAGTACGTGGTTGGGCAGTGCGTGCTAGATTGTAGAATGCTAGCTGTAAGCGCCGAAACGGCAGCATCGGCTGTATGCTCCCCAGGGAGTTGAGGAAGATATTGGCTGGTTACAATGGCCCTATAACCACGGATAATAATTTGTGAACCGCTTTGAGACAACCTACGAACTAGGATGTGATCAAGCGGTATATAAGAACCTCGAATTATTATTACTATTATTATTACAATATATCAAAGGACATTCATCTATCATTTTCACTTACCTAATCTTCCGTTTTATTAGTGTCTTCCTAGACACTCAAAGTGTGGTCGTCAACAGAATAATATGACCGTGTAGGGAATCATGTTACCGTATCCAGGGTAAGATATATTTCAATGACATGACACTTTACTCAGTAGCCATTGATTATTCCCATTAATATGTATACATACCTGATGGAAGGACGAAATCAAACAATAAGGCAATAATAAATAAAAAGATATTGTAAAATAATATACAAAATAATATACAGTAAAACCTTGTTATACTGTCACCACTTGAGAAATTTTGGCGTTATAAAGGGGTTTGGCGGTAATTGGAGGAAATATATAAAGGTATTCTTTAGAAAATGAGAAAGGGGATATTGAAATAGGATACGTAAATGGGCGGATCGGTCGAGTGGCAAACACTCCACCTTCCACGTAGGCGGCCGGGGTTCGGTCCCCGAAGTCGTCGTACGCATGGATATTCAGAGAAAGTGTTTTTCTCCTGCCCACACAACTCCAACAACCCAGGTTGAGTATAAATTGGTCTGGGGTGGATGTTGCGGTATCTGTGTTGTAGCATTCCAGTGAGGTGGCACTATAAATGATGCCGTTGGAAGCACGGTCCTACTACAAACAGAGCACATTACATTTCCAGCACACACGCAGGCATACACACATAAGGAAATATTAGCCAGGTGGCATAGGACTAGTGGTTAGCGCCTGATAAGGCAGCACCTGTGAATTACTCAAAAAAGTATTGCTTAATGTATATGCTAATTGTTTTAATTGTATATCTATGTACTGTAAAGCGCTTTGGAGTGGCTTATGTTAGCCAGATAGGGCGCTATATCAAATGTTGTATATTATTATCATTACGTAAAATTGTTGAAATCAAATGCAGCCTTGTAATCGACATATTACGAATCGGTGACATCCACACGGAGAAGAATACGTCTACCTGATGTGTTTAAATGCACCACTGGTGTGATACTTAAAATATTTAGTGTGTATGTACTAAGTAACATATATAGGACAAGTCAATGCGTAAGTAAACAGTGACATACATCTTGATTAACTATACCGAAACGTGACGATAAAAGACAGTGACGCTGAGTGTCGAGTGTGATGACACACCATCCGGGATGACTATTAAACACAGTGGTTTGTACGTCCCTGACATGTTAAATGTTTTATCAAATGAATATATAATTTTATTTTGTTTATTTTTCTTTTGAAATGATAATAAAAATAAAATATTATTGCTTGCTTCTTATTTGCAACAAATTCATTTTTCGTTAACTGCTGGTTAAAGATAACCAAACTTGGGCCAACCGGGACCAGGTGTCTTTAGATTTAGCTCTATAACGTAACAATATGTACATCAGGGCACTTGTGAAAGCTTTGTTATCTTAACATATATGTATGTGTATGCAAACTTTGTCCACTCTACTATCTATGCAGTCTATCATTACAACAGCTTCAAGTACGAGTTTTATGGTATTTCCAAATGATATTTTGACAGAAATAATGCGATATATATGTTTATATTTGTGTGTTCACCTATGTTCAAGATTTCGATTAATAACAGACCACAAACATATTAAATATATGATGTTTTTCAAAGTAGCATGTATAGGGGTCGGTCAATATGATATCATATACCTGGAAAAGTATTTGACGGCATCCTTTCTGTTTTGTAAGGGGATGTTTTGCCACTTCGGTGGTTTTTAGCTTGCTATGTAAGCTTTTGAGCTACTTATTCTTGATACAGTCAGACCTGCTGTAGAGACAACATTCATTAAGAGACCACCTGTAATAAAAGATCGTCTTATTCAGAGATCACCTGAATTAAGAGGAAGCCTGTTTTAAGGGACTGTCTGTATTAATATACCATAAGAGTAAACAATTGTGTTTAGAGACCATCTGTAACAAGAGACCATCTTATTAAGAGGCGGCTTGTTTTATTGGACCAACCGTCAATCAACTTAAGCGACGATCTTTAATAAGAGACCACTTGTATTAAGAGACCGCCTGTATCAAGAGAAAACCACTGTGTTAAGAGACCACCTGTATTAAGAGGCGGTCTGTATCAAGAGTAAGCAACTGTGTTAAGAGACCATCGTATCAAGAGGTGGCCTGTTTTATTGGACCAGCTGTCAATCAACTTAAACGACAATCTTTATTAAGAGACCAACTATATTAAGAGACCGCCTATGTCAAGAGAAAACCACTGTGTTAAGAGACCACCTGTATTAAGAGGCGGTCTGTATCAAGAGTAAACAACTCTGTTAAGAGACCATCTGTAACAAGAGACCATTTTATTAAGAGACGGCCTTTTTTGGGACCAATTGTCAATCAACTTAATAGACAATCTTTAATAAGAGACCAACTGTATTAAGAGACCGCCTGTATCAAGAGTAAACCACTGTGTTAAGAGACCATCTATGATTAAAGAACATATGATTAAGAGACACCATGTACTAAGAGACCAACTGCACTAAGAGACCGCCTGCATCAAGAGAAAACAATCGTATTAAGAGACCATCTATGATTAAAGGACATCTGATTAAGAGACACCATGTACTAAGAGACGCGACCACCTGTAGAGACTCTATTAAAACTATTTGTATTAAGACCATCTACCAAAAAACACTTCATATGCCTCATGGACATAAGTTTTTAATACAGATTAACAGAACAGTACTGACATCACGATCTTATGCGGTTATAAAGCTCCATTCCTCCCAATATTATTCCAAGAGTTATGATTTCTGATATATTCAAAATTAAACGAAAATGATCAGCTATATGAGTTACTCTGTATTTATATGTGATAAGTGAAGAAACTGTCTTATATAGCATGTTTCTCGAATATGTGTATAATGATAATGCACGGGGGAAAAAGTGTGGACCATAAGACAGCTTGTCTATTTTAACGCCCTGAACATAGCATTAATACCCTATGAAGTCTTACTTTGTGTTTCAGTGTAAGGTGTTTCAGAGAAAGACAAACATTAAAATGACTGGTGTGAGATTATATGTAAATATGATTACAGAATGACGTGTGCATATTAAATACGTCGCTCACATGGATTAAGAGGGGGGCATCTGGACAGCAAGTAAAACCACAAATCAGTGTGTAACGGAAATTTTGTCATGATTCATGATTAGTAACATAACTATCTCGTTAGCTGTA